AACATCACGGACAGTATTGGAACACATCCATTAATGTTTATCGGAAATTAATGAATAATACCAGGAGCGGTCTGGAAACTCGCTCCTTAGCGTTGGCTAGAAGAAAAGGGAAACACGTGCTCTCCACACATAAACAAAATTAAGTTAATTTACAATAAAATAAAAATGAAATAAAATAATTAATAAAATATAGCTCATTACATAAATATAATATATAAAAGAAAACGATACCCGGTCTCCGAAAAGACCCATTCGATGTTCTGGATGCTTCGTCGAAAAGACCTGGCCGTTCGCCGTTGGCAACTCTACTCCATCATTGAAAAAAAATGACCAAAAAACAATAAACGTGTGCACTCTAGCACGGTCAATGACAGAAGAAGGAATGGAGAAGAGCCAATACCGATCTAACGGCAATTTCAAATCGATAACGGCAAGTCTTTTTAGAAGGGATCAATACTGATAAACAATTCGATTTTAAATATATTTCTCTTTTATCGTCTTATCTAGCGGTCAGCGGTAAAATTATGAGTAGTTGATACCGCTGAGTCAGGAAAAGGTTCTTTCGCGCTATAAAATAAATAAGTAGACATAACAAAAAATCATAAACGATCCACCTTCGAATTTGTGACGTTACAAAGTATTAAAATCTATAATAGGGTCATCAACAAATTCTTCAATCTTCATATCATTTTGGTTTTCAGTTGCCTCCATTGAAACTGTCACAGATTTGTTCTAAATTAAAAAAACGGTAGCACAGTAGGGTCGAGGCACAGTGTAGACAAGGCNAAAAAAACGGTAGCACAGTGGGGTCGAGGCACAGTGTAGACAAGGCATAGATGGGACAAGTATAGATGATATTTGACAGTGATTAAAATCACTATCATAAGAAACGCTTCGATGCAAATCTGTAGATAGTGTTTCATTTAGAGAAATTGGTCTATTATTCCAAAATAAAAAATTTTGTTACTATAAATAAATGCACTGAACTACAACTTTCATCAGTAACAAAAATATATCATTCTAAATCAATTTTTCGCGATGTTTTCAAATCTGCAATTAGACTTTTTCTATCACTTCTAAGTTTTAATATTATTAAAAATTAGTATTAAAATACAAAAAAATTCGCATCGAAGCTAAAATTGGCTATTTAAGCTAACTCAAATTTAAAAATTACTTTTTCGACTTTAAAAAAGTAAAATAAGTTTAATTTCTTATGTCTTATGAACTTTATTCTATGTCAATTAAATTATATAATATTCATGAAAGTCAATATATTCTCCTAATAAGATATTTTAAAATAAAATAAAATACAAAACCTAGAATTCTAATAGAAAAATAACGTATTTTTGAATACGGTAGCCATTTGCGCATAGAAGATAGGTCGTCGGGACAAATTTTTTTTTTCATTTTATAGTACATAAAATAAGCTTTAATTTTATATATGTTTAAAGGATGCAGTATTTCCGGAACACTTTTAAAAGTTAAGTTGAAAAAGTTCTATTTTTTATACAATATTTCAAGTTTTGAACGCCCCCTATATATGGGGAAATTGTCCAATTTTAATAAAAAGTATGTCAAATGAAAGATGTACTTATAATGTATTTAGAAAAAAAAATTTGTGCTGATAATTACATTTTTCGGAAAGTTATAGCACTTTTAAGTTGAAAATCGAAAATCGAAAATTTTAACACAAAAATAGCGTTTTTTTAACTACGGCAGCCGTTTACATGCAGAAAAAAAAGTGTCGGGACAAATTTTTTTTTTTCATTTTGTAGTACATAAAATAAGCTTTAATTTGATATATGTTTAAAGGACGCAGTATTTAATTTTTGACTTTTTTGAATTTTTCAGTATTTTTTTTTCAACTTAAATTTTGAAAATGTTAGTTTTTGTAAAAAAGTTGCTATTTTAAATCCCCCCCAATGAGCAGGTTAAGTGATAGATTTTCAAAAAAATAATATCAAATGAAAGGGAAATATCTAAGGTTTTAGTATAAAAAAATTTATGTTGATTTGTTTATTTTTGAAAAAGTTATGGAAGTTTTAAGAAAAAAAAGTGAAAAAAATGACATAATTTACCGATTTTTAAATTTGTAATTTTTTTGGATATTTCCCCCATTTGCGGGGAACGAGGGAAAATTTTTCAATTTTTAAGGGTAATGTCTTCAACTAGATACCCATCAATATGTGATTGACCGCTGGTAAAAATAATTGAACGAGTTCCACGCGACTCGTTAAATCGAGTCATTATTACTCATTCGCAATTAAACGCTCGCTCGAATATCGTTGATACCAAACTGAACGGTATATTATCGTTTCGTTTTTTTTTTATGTTGTGTTCTTTTTGATCTACCGCAAAAGGGTGTATATACACTCATAATTTCGCAAACCAGTTCTTTACATATAAAGTGATACTCAAAACACACTAACTTTTGGTTAAGATTAATCGTTGTTTTCCTGTCATTCTGTTCCTGTTATTAGCAAGACATACAATTTTGCCGCAAACCAGGTCACAGCCATCTGTGGATATACAGGTCGCTTTTATTGTATTATTTTACATTACTATTAAATAATCTATTAATGTACCTATGTATATATTTCTAGTATAGTTAAGTTTTACTAACATTAATTTTAGTGATATGTTATGTTTGTATAATATTCTTATATAGAAATATCAATATATGAATACTCTCAACATCTTTTAATAATCTTCCATATTCTGTTGTCTACTTCTGACACTTGTAGTGTTATTCTTTTAAATTTTAGTTAAAGGAACACTCAAACAATAGTAATAATTACTTGTGTTGTTTTTGAGAAAAAAGCAAATAGTGTTTGTTAAGTCCTATGTAACTATCGTTATCAACATGTACGTGGACGGTCGTTGACCACCACTTTTAATTAAGTCAGTCGGCGACGTGCCTTCTTAGCGTAGAGTTGTAATTTAAACGAATAAAAGTTGATATATTAAAGTTCAAAGTGTTACTTAAAATTTAAATATAATAAAACCCCAAAAATCTGTTCAACCAGAAAAAAGACATACAGTCCACAACAGTGTTCCTCGCTTTTTCTTCTCTGGTTCCATGTTCAATACGGTTGGTAAACGGTATATTACGGAAAAATACAAATTAATATTTCAACAGCTATAGTTTAACCCAATAACTTATAACTTTCAGTTTCAACTTAGTATGAACTTTATAGTTAATTTTTGGTCGATATTTTGAATTTTGTCAAATGTCAATAAAGTTGTCATGAAATGATAAACATTATCCTATTTATTTTATAGATATTTATTTATACACTTTGACAGTGTTTTGTTTTACATTTAAAATCTATTTTTAAAATGATAATAGTCTCGAGCCATAATTGAATAATCAATAAAACACATAAATACGCCGATTTTTCCCGATTCTAATTTTTTTCGTAATTCAGTCTTTACTAGCTTAATCGACAAATTTTTACAAAATCTATATAAATTATAAATTTTTTTTTTTTTTTTTTTTCGGGCTTTTACGAGCCATTTAGACTCTTGGCCGCCAAAACTACTTCCTTCCATCGTTCTCTATCATATGCCTGCTCCAAGTCCACTCCAATTTCTTCTAATAATTCCTTGACGCTGTCCTTCCATCTTTTTCGCGGTCTTCCCCTTGGTCTTTTTCCGCTTACCATATATGTCATTGCTCCTTTCAATATACTTCCATCGGCCCGCCATGCGTGGCCTGCCCATTCTATCCTAGTCCCTCTGGTGAATTGGACCACATCTTCTCTTTTGTAAAGCTGGTACAGTTGGGCGTTTGTTCTTATTTCCTATTTCTGTTCTGTATTGTTGAATACGGGTCCATAAATTTTTCTAAGAACTTTTCTCTCAAATAACCGTAGTTTTTCATCATCACCTCTCGTTGTTGCCCATGTGGCACATGCATATGTCAATATAGGGCGGATGTAACTAACGTATAGATGTTCTTTTGTCTTCCTTGACAGTAGCTTAGATTTAAAGAGGGTTTTCAGTGCATAAAGGCATCGGTTAGCAGCGCCCAGTCTGATATTGATCTCTCCATGCATGTTGTTTTGGTTATTTAGGGTAGACCCAAGGTACTTGAACTCTTGTACTTGTTCAAAGGTGTTATTTCCGACGTGGAGGTTGTTATGGTCACCCCCTCCTCGCTTCACCACCATGTATTTAGTTTTACCACTGTTGATTGTCAAGCCAATACCTTTTCCCACCTTTATCAGTTCTTCGACAGTATTCTGAATACCTTCTCGCGAATTCCCAATAACCACTATGTCGTCTGCATATGCTAGTAAGACATTTCCTTCGTCAAGGTTTAATGTCTCAGTTCGTGGAACCTTTCTTATCACACTCTCCAATGCCAAATTGAAAAGCACTGGTGACATCGCATCCCCTTGCTTCAATCCACTATTTATTATAAACGAAGACGATACCTCGCCGTTCACCTTGACTCGGCTGCTGGTGTATGTGTTACATAGTTTCACCATGCTGATCAATTTGTTTGGCAAACCAAAGTCTTTAAGAATTTTCCATAGTTTTCCTCTATTTATGCTATCATATGCTTGTTTGTAATCCACAAAAACCATATGTAGATCTTTCGCGAACTCATAACTTTTTTCCATAATTTGTCTTATGACAAATATGTGATCAGTAGTTGATTTATTTTTTCTAAATCCGCTTTGGTAATTACCCACTATCTCATCTGTATAAATTTGTAGTCTTTTAAGTATGATTAATGAAAGTACCTTATACCCAGTGTTCAGTAGTGTTATTCCTCTATAATTCTCTACTTTTTTTCGGTTACCTTTTTTGAAAATTGGACATATCAATGATTCATTCCAGTCTTGTGGTATCTTTTCCTTTGTCCATATCTGTTGAATTAGATGATGTAATTTTTGTGTTAGGTTTTGTCCTCCTGACTTCAATAATTCAGCTACAATTTTATCATCTCCTGGTGACTTATTATTTTTTAGAGTCTGGATTGCACACTGTACCTCTTCTAAACTCGGGTTTAATACTTCTGGTTCAACTGTATAATGTATGGTGTCGTCTTGTTCGCCTACTTCTTCCGTTGTTGAGCCATTGTTAAGAAGTTTTTTAAAGTACATTCTAAATTCCTCGGCAATTTTTTCCGGTCTTGTAATTAGAGCACCATTATTATCTTCTATCATATGTATAGCTGGTATATATCCATTTTTAAATGTTTTGCACCGTTTGAAAAATTCTCTGGGGTTGTGTTTGAAGTTTTCAATCTCCTCTAATCGTTCTTTTTCGGCTATTCTCTTTTCCTTTCTTATCAGTGTAGTTATTTCTCTTCGTTTTTCCTGGAAGGCCCTTAAGTTCTCGGGGGTTGGTGTGTGGATAGCTTTGATTCTGGCTTCATTGCGTTCCTTGATTCCTTTCTTGCAATTGTCATTAAACCATTTCTTTGTTTTCTTTCTTTGTGTATGTTGAATGACTTTTTCTGCGGATTCGGTTATGGAGGTTTTTATTACTTTCCATGACTCCTCAACCTGTTCATTATCTACTCCCTCTCTTTTTTTTCCTAATACATTAGTCACTGTTTCTTGAAATGTCCGTAATGTTTCTTCATTTCTTAATTTATCCACATCGTATTTTCCGAGTATTTTTTGTTTCTTTTTCCATTCCATGGATATCTTTACTCTGAAGTCAATCAGGATCAAGTAATGATCTGTGTCTGCGTCTGCTCCTCTGTAGCTTTTGACGTTTTTTATAATCGTCTTATATTTATTTTCTATGAGGGCATGATCAATTTGGCTACTATATCTTCCTCCTGGAGATAACCATGTTTCTTTATGAATATTTTTCCTTGGAAATCTTGTACTGCTTATTACCATATTTTTACTTATTGCAAAATTAATTAATCTTATTCCGTTATCATTGCTTTGGTCGTGTAGACTATGTTTTCCAATCGTCGCTTTGTAAGCATTTTCTTTTCCCACTTGGGCGTTCAGATCTCCCAATAATAATTTAATGCAATGGCCTGGTAAGGCGTCATATACTTGTTCCAACTCTTCATAAAAGGCATCTTTTGCTTCTTCATTTCCTGATTCGGTTGGTGCGTATGCGCAAATTATTACCATGTCCCGGTGGTTCATATTGATCCGAATGTAACATATTCGGTCATTTATAGCCTTAAATTGCTTAATCCATGGTATTAGACTATTGTGCACGAGAAAACCCACCCCATTTTCACGCTTATTAGCCGTTAGACCACCATAGTATAATGTCATGTTACCTGTTGGTATACATCCTTCTCCTTGCCATCTCGTTTCTTGTAGCGCTACTAAATTTGCCTTATATCTATTTATTGCATCGACTAGTGTACCAAGAGCTCCTGCTTTATATAAAGTCCTTACGTTCCATGTGCCAATCCTAAATCCTTGTAGTCCGGGCCGTTTCCATTGTGTTTTATCCAAATCTCTGTCCCGAGGCTTTAGTTTTGGTTTCTTAACAGTAGAGTTTTTTACAGTCACGGGTTGTTAGCCCGTCGCCAAACCTCCAACCTGGAGGACCAGACAGAGCCAACCAATTAAGGCCAGCTCAGAGCTCGGGTCCCCGGGTTCGCCAAACCCGTAGTGCTAATTACTTAGCACCCCCCTGAGGGGAAATTATAAAATTTAGATTTAAAAATTATGTACAAATATTGTTTTGTAAAATATTTTCTAATTCTAAATCTTGGTCTTATACCATACAACTGATTAAGACATATAATATAAAACTAATAAATAATAAAAATAAACTATAATTATAAAAAAAACACAATTAAAAAAGATTTTGGAAATTTATTATCAATTATTATTAAATAATCATCATTATTTCATTAATGTGTTTTTTTTTGCATCAGGAAAATGTTTTCTATAATCTGCGACAACTTGGAGCAAGTATTAATTTTGGTCTTCTTATTTAGTAATTATCGAATTATACTCTTCAATTAATTTCACTGATCTTTCTGCAGTATCGTTTACAACTTTTAAACTTTGCACTATTTCTTGACAGTCTAGATAATCTATATTTAAATTCCATCGTTCGGGATCTTCGCTTAAAAACTAGTTTTCATATTAACGCGTATTCCAAAACAGAAGGCGCACAGGTGTCTGCGTAATCCAATACAAAAACGCACAGGTGATTGCGTTGAGCGTGTACGAAATGTACCAACGAATATATATATCGACACTTATAACTCACAGCACAATTTATATGCCAATAGTAGCTGTATGAGGCAGTTAACGCGTATTCCAAAGCAGAAGGCGCACAGGTGACTGCGTAATCCAATACAAAAAAAAACGCACAGGTGATTGCGTTGAGCGTGTACGAAATGTACCAACGAATATATTTATATCGACACTTATAACTCACAGCACAATTGATATGCCAATAGTAGCGGTATAAGGCGCAGGCGAAAACAAAATAACATTCGCGACACAGATGACAAAAGAAAAGAAGAATAACGTGGAAAACAACACAGCGTAGAGCAACCAGTTAAGGTGAACGTCGAAAAACGGAACAGCAAAAAAAAAACAATACACCACTTCAGGTGAACGTCGAAACGAAACAGGACGCAATATCGGTAATCCATATTCGGCGGCGGCCTTATCTCAGTGTCAAGGGCGGGGAGACGACCGATGACAACCGATTGTCATATTAATAGCTGGACGGCTGATATCGAGAGAGACACGAGTGAGCGCCAGCCTAGAGCAAAAGGCGGTGCCGTGTCAATATCAAAACGTTTAAAAAATTTTTTTGAGTTTTTATTAATGAACTTGTCAATAGTTTTACTTATAAAATGTTTTATATCACTTGGCGGATTAATTTTTTTTAAGTCTTCACATTCATTAGTTTGTAATGATTTTACCATAAGTCTTTTTATTTCAACAGGTATTTGATCATCAAAAAATGCCATTGAGACATTTTCAGGCGCGAGATACCATAAGTGGTTGCTAAATTTCTTAAGTGCTATTAAACCTACGGCATTGTCAATTTTTATGTATTCATAAAGATTTTTCATGCATTCTAAGTCCATACGAGGAGCTTCAATAGAATTATTTGCAGAAAACCAGTATTTTAAATAAATTCTTACTAAAAATATACAAACATCACGAACACCAACCCGTTCGTCATTTGTTAGCTCGAAAGACTCTCGAAAAAGAAAAATTTTTAAACAATAAATGGCTTTTGCCATCCATCTGGCGTGATGATAAGCTCCAGGAGATCTAATAGAAATATTTGTATATGATCACCGCCAAGAAAAATAATTGCCAAATTAAGAAGTTCTCTATAGTCTTCTCTTGATTGATTAATTTTTATTTTTTCCATTAGAAACGAAATTAATTCATTTTCTAAGTCGTTTAATTGTGTTTTAACCGTAATATCTTCTAAACCTGGATTTATTGTACAGTCTTTAATCTGTGGCCAACTTTTGTGAAATTTTTTAAACAATGGTACATTTGGTCCACTAGATAAAGCAATATTTCGATCAAATACACTTCTTAAAACTATTTCNTAATTTTTTGATCAAATACACTTCTTAAAACTATTTCAAATATGTGGTGCCTACATGGTAAGTATAAAAGGTCCCTTTCGAGGTATTGCTCTAAAATAATACAAGCACCTTGTAATCTCCCCATATTAGAGGCTTTTGTGTCGCAACAAATAGCCTGAACTTTATTTTCAATATCCCATTCTACTAATAAACTATGAATTGCTGAAGCTTGTTCTCTTCCTGTACTTGATTTAATAAAAGGAACGCCAAGAAGTTGCTCATTACCATTGAAACTTATAAGTACAGGTAGCCTTTCAATTTTTACATTACTAGTTAGTGATGGAAATAATTTGCCATCGAAATGAACAGTAACTGATCTAATATTTGTAAGGTTTCAGCCAAAAAGAGGGCCTACTAATTACCCACTGCCCAGGGGGAACACTAGACAGTGACCTAGTAGCCGCGCCAAACAAGATAGTACTTGCTGACGGAGCTACTAGGTTTTGATAAAAACAAAAAAAAAAACAAATATTAATAAAAATGAGGGAAAAGTATAGAGAGAAAAATAAAAGAGGCCATGTATAATATAATAACATTTTTTTATAATTAATGATTAAATTTTATAATTATTATTTTAAATATATATATTTTCATATGAAAGGAGAAGAAGAAAAAAAAGGAGGTGCTTGATACACAAATTAAAAAGGGGGTACAAGGGGGTTTTATTGATGTTGTACTTGATCTTGAGGAGTGCCGGCCCACCACCGGCCATAGTTGTGTCTTACGCCATCGTGGACATCTCGACGTTTTATTTTATACAAAAAAAAAAACGGAGGACAAAAAAAAATACACAGAACATCCTGGTTGACGGCCAAAGTAGACGGCAGGTCGACTCGACGTTTTATTTTCTAATAAAAAAAACGGAGGACAAAAAAAATACACAGAAAACGTGGTTTTCACAGACAAATATATATACAGAAAACACAACTTGTCGCCTCTGCAGTATATGTAGGGACGTTGCGATACTACCGATACCAGTAAAGTATCGATACTTTACTTTCGATACGAGTCCTTTTTGTATCGATACCATAGTTTCGATACTTTACTCATATCGGTAAAAAAGTACTAGTATCGAATGAATGGTATCGAATCATTTATTTACGGCCGTACTCAGGCCCGTATTTATAAAAATTGCCGCCAGGGGCAACATAAAATTTGCCGCCCCCCCCCCAAAAAAAAGAAAATTTTTTACTTTATTGGTATTACACAAATGTAGTAGAAAATAGGTACATTAATATAAAATAAAACTCAGTAATAACTAATAACCAATATATTATTTAAAACATTCTTAAAAATAATAAAACAACTTCAAAAATAAAAATATTCAATTGTAATTTCATAACTTTTCTTAAACTTTTCTGCGAGATTGTTTTGATGCAAATGATTTAATAATATCATCGTAGTCAATCATTCTGGTTATGGATGACTCAATGTTTNTCGTAGTCAATCATTTTGGTTATGGATGACTCAATGTTTAATATGGCTAAACTGTTCAATCTTTCTGATGACATGGTTGATCTTAAATATGATTTAATTCTCCGTAAAGTGGAAAATGATCTTTCCGTTGAACAATTAGAAGCAGGAGTACATAGAAACATTCGGAGAGCAACATAAACATAAGGAAAAATAGCTTCTATATTTTTTTCTTTAATAAATTTACACATATTAATGATATTTGTTGGAGGGTTTTTAATAGTTTTAAGTAAGCTCTGAAAATGAACACACTCGTTTTCAAATGTTTCATCCAAATCATTTTTGAATATTTTTCTTAATTTTTTTGCACCATCACGAACTTCTGAGGTTTTTTGTTCACTAATATTTAAGAAAAATAAGTATTTAGATATTATATCATCATAAGAAATTTTTCTTTTTTTTAGTTCTTCTATTAAATTATCACAAATAATGTAAATGGTATTAATTTTAAAATTTTCGCGTCCGTTGAAAATAGCATCTGGTTCAGTAGATTCATCATTACGTTTCTTACGTTTTCTATTTTTGTGTTCATAGTCAGGAATTAAGTCATCATTGTCAAACATAGCTTTTGCCAACTTTTCATAATCATTAAACATTGATCGTAAAGTTTGAACGTATTGAATTAACGAATTATACAAACTAACTACAGTGCTTATATCAATATCAACAGATTGTAATAGAAGACTAGTTTTGTTAAATGTATGTAAAATATCACTCCAAAATACAGTCATGTATGCTGTTTCTAATTTATTCATTTGTCTAATTAAACCTCTGGCTTCAGACCGTACAAATGGTTTTTCATAATCATCATTTATTAGTTCTTCTAATACTTGTTTTATAGAATTCCAGTTTTTTTTTAAGCTATGGCAAGCGTCTTCTCTTGCTGACCATCGTGTAGTGGATAAACTTTTTACAGTTGAGATAGAATATTGACTTAATTTATGCCATCGATGTGTGGATGAAGAAAAAAATACAAATATATTTTGAATAAAAAGAAAAAAATCATTTGCTTCTTTACAGCAATTTGCAGCACACGATCTGACTAAGTTTAAAGAATGTGCCGAACATGGTACAAAATCAGCTAATGGTGAAACTTGCTTTATTCTTGCTTGAACTCCTGAATAAATACCACACATATTTTTAGCATTGTCATAAGATTGACCTCTCAAATAACAAACATCTAAATTATATTTTTTTAAAACTGATAAAACTGATTCTGTTAGATTGTCTGATTTATGTCCAACATTTTCTAAAAAACCAATAAATCTTTCAATTGGCTCACCGTTTGATAGCACATACCTGATAACGAAAGACAGTTGATCAGAGTGTGATATATCTGGAGTGGAATCTATGCTGATAGAAAAATATTTCGATAATTTAATTTCATCAACTATGGTATTAATGACTTTTTCAGACATGATTTTAACGAACTGTTCATAAGTAGAAAATGATAAGTAGGAAGTATTACCTTTGCCAGGGTTACCATACTTAGATATGTGTTCTGATAGAAGTGGGTCGTACTCTGCAAGTAATTCCATCATCATAATAAAATTTCCAGTATTTGAAGTAGATGATCCAAATTTTTCTACATCACCTCTAAATGATAATCCATGACTTGCCAAACTTTTAATAACCGAACAAACCCTGGTCAGTACACTAATCCAATATTTTTTTTCGGTTTCTATTTGATGTATTAGTTTTGAATTTATTTTACTTAAATCTGATGCAAGTTCTTTCATTTTATAAGAACATAGTTTGTGTTCAGGTGAATTTTCATGGTAAGAAATTTTTTTAGGGTGTTTCCAATCTGAAAATCCTTTTTTTGAAAAATTAGTTTTATTCTCAAATAAGAGACATGGAACACAATAAATTGACCCAGTACTCTCAGAATAAGATAAATAATTTCTTTGACATGTTTCACCATTGATTAAAACAGTTTTGAAAAAATCTATATTCAGATATCTAAAATAGTTACGGAAATGCCGTTTCTTTACAACTCTGTACAATCTTTTTGAAGCTGTAAATTTAACATCTAGATTTTGGCTAAATCCATTTTTACAGATATATTGCCTCGTTTGTTCATTTATACTCCACAATGCTGGATCCAATCTTAAATAAAAATAAAAATGAAAATTACTTATTAATTTAGAAATAGTTACAATAAGAATAACATATAAATGCATTTAATATATTAGAATATTTAACCTAATAAATTTTTACTTATTTTACCTATTATTATTATTTTGTATTTTGTATAAAATTAATTCTAATAAAATAATTAAAAATGTCTAATGAAGATAATCGTCAAAAACTAAGTAAAGTAAGAATTTATTTAAAAAATATAATTTTAATTACAGTGTTTTAACTTTACCCAGGTATATCAGTAGAATTTGGTTCTAATAAAATATTTATATGCTCTGACACGCATGGAGGTTCTGTATCCAAATTATTACAAAGAGTTGTAAGGCCAGCTTGACGTTGTTCAGTAGATTTATTAACCATACCTGACTCTGAGTAGAAATATATAATGATATAATCAAAAATTATAAAAATACTAGTTGTGTTTAACCATAGTTTAAATACAACACATTTTTTTATTCGATATATCTGAATACCTGATTTATATAATAATGAAATAACTAAAAACTACCTAATAAGAAAATTCATATAATTTGGAGTATAATATTTAACTTTTAAGCAATTGTTATATTTAATTATTTAAATTTCCGCAATAATATAATAATTAAGATTGGTTTGGTGTAATAATATTTGATTTCTTAAAAAAAAAAAATTAAACTTATTATGTGTTTATATAAATTTCATATTATTATTAGTTTACTTTACAGTGAACATAAATAAAATACTTACTTTTGAACATCGTGTCGATTTTAATAGTTTTTTGAACAACTTTATTCAAATTAAATTCTTTGAGCTTAGCTATTTTCTTGTATTCAGCCCCACTAAGCCTATTTCTTCTTGGAGCCATAACTAAGTAAAATAGGTATAAAACATTATTACAAATATAAAATGTACCGACCTATTCAAAATGTAAATTCGTGACTTATATGAGAAAAATTATATCGTAACTAATATTCCGCAACTCTTAAGAACAATAATTGTTTTTTTTCTAACTATTAGAATTAAAGCACAATTAACATTTTGTAAATAATTAATCATAATAGTCTTTACTACAATATAAATATTAAATACCATATAATACTATTGGTTTTATAATATTTTAAAATCAATGATAAATTATAATACTTACTGTTTTGAATATACACGCGTAGTATAAATGTATAATATTAATTAATAGTTAAAATAGATTGATTAACAGACCACGACACCACGTCAGTACTCGTTCATGAATAATGCACTAATAATTGTATTTTGATTTTTGTTATCGATAATATTATAATAAATAATAATACTTAATAGTAGTGTAAATTGTCAATAATCGGCAGTCGTAGTTTCGTAGCTCCTTATATCATGGGAATACCCCAATTGTATATTTTCTATTTTTAGTATGTATTTTTCATAGTCTACGATTCGTAGAACTAAATACGAATCATATGTTTACAACATCAATATGCCCAAAGCATTTTATTGACATTCGAGTTGATAACGAATAAAAACTTTATCAGAACTTTATTAGGTACATTCTACATTCAAAATCTATTTTGGTATAATTATATTATTATAGTTATTTTTTTATTATACTAATTATATATTATATTTTTGTATTATACCATTGATTATAGATAGTATATAATATCTATAATCTCTATCTATAATCAATGATTATACTCATTAGGTAAAATGAGCTACAAATAAATTTTACATTTTTGACCATTTCAATATTTTGCCGCCCCTAAACCTAATTTTAATATTGCCACCAGGGGCAATTGCCCCTCCGAGCCCTCCCTTAAATACGGGCCTGGCCGTACTGCCATATCGGTTTAAAAGTATCAAACAGTTATTTCCAAGTAAAATAGTTTGCGCGTGGTGGGACCGCCGGACCGGTTGGAAATTTACTCAAACAAATCATACAATACGAATACGACTATAATTGTTTCCTAATCGGAATAATAAAGTGCCCGTTTATCGATAAGGCGATAAAGCATCTATTTAATAATACTTTTTACAATGAATTCGGATAAATACTCAAATACTGGATACGACGATAATTCGGCATTCCGCTTTTCAAATAACACATTCGATCGACTAGTGCGAGTGCGACTACTCGATTTTGCAATGCTGCCTCCCAAGAGTAAATGTTGGATTTATTTTAAAAAAGTTGACAAAGTTAATGCGGAGTGCAAAATTTGCACCCAAGGAGTAAAATACTGTGGCAATACGTCCAACTTAAGTAAACATTTAAAAAAACATCCAAATGTATTGGAACCCGGAACGAGTGGTTCAACAAGAAAAACTTGTAAACAATTGAAATTAGATGTGACACCTGTAATTAATCCTGTTTCGCGTCATTTTATAAATTTATACTTATTTCCAAGTTTTTTTAAAATTACAGTATTGTAAATTTGTAACCTGCCTGTAATACAATATTATATAGGTTGTAATACCAACCTATATGTCTATAGTATATATACTTATAAGTTATACTATACTTGTACTTAAATATAAGATGTATAAATATAATATATTATTTATTATTTCAGTAAACAAACTAGTAATATTGTTCTTTCAACAACCATTGTACAAGATCCCGAATCTGAGACAGAGGTAATAAGAGTAAATGTTTTATAATAAAAATGCATTAATATAAACAAAAAAATTTATTTTAGGAATGTGTAGATGATCCAAATTTAAAACGACCAATTATTGATTCATTTAACCGAATCAGCTCATATGCAGGTGTGTTAATTATGACTTAATATAACAGTATTTTTAATTTTTATATTGGATATTCAGATTTACTAATAAAGAGTGCATTTTTTAAACTAGTTAACTGAGTGATACAAGTCCCTGGGCGACACTTGTATCATATTTTGTCACCTATTTAATAGTTTTTTTAATAACTGGGCGACACAATTTACAAATGAAAAATTTTAAAATTGTATAAAAAAATAATTAAGTAATAACAAAACTCATTTTGTGTTTCAGAGGGTGGTTTCAATCATAGGAAAATCACCATGTATTTACTGTACTTTATTTGTAAAGATTACCGACCTTTTGCTGTTGTAGAAGGAGAAGGATTTAAGAGATTATTCAAAGAATTGGCGCCATCATATAAAATCCCTTCGGTTACAACATTGAAAAATGCTCTTGATAATAAATATGAGGCCACAAAAGAATTATTAAAAGGTTGTTTGTTGGCAGCACCACATGTGTGTATTACATTGGATTCATGGACTGAAACGATGAATGAAAAAAGTTTTCTTGGTGTGACAGTACACTACCTCAAGGATATATCTATTAAATCACATTGTTTAGCCGTTGCAGAACTGAAGGAAAGACATTCTGCTCAATATATCAGTGAGATTCTAGATAAAATTCTTTCAGACTGGCAAATTGATAAAAGTAAAATTTTTACTGTTGTAACGGATGATGGTGCAAATGTAGTTGCTGCCGTTAATAAAACATTCGGCAAGAGTAGGCATACTCCATGCTTTGCACATACCATTAACCTAGTGGCAACACATACAGTTGGTCAAAAAAATATGAAACCTATAATTTCCAAAGTAAGAGAAATTGTAAAATGGGTGAAAAACAGCGTCATCCACAGTGATCAATTGAGAAAAAAACAGTCTAAAGCTGGATTCCTGAGGGAAAATTTAAAAAATTAATATTAGATGTTCCAACAAGGTGGAATTCTGTTTATTTTATGATAACTCGATTTATGGAAATGGTGTCTTTTCTTAGTCCAATGTTACTCAATGATATAACTGCACCCAGTATGCCAACCGCTATAGAATTAGATATCCTCCGACAATTAATTGAATTATTACAACCATTAGAGTATGTCACAAAAGAATCCTCTGGAGAAAATTACATTACTATCTCAAAAGTGATCCCCATGATTAACTGCCTATTAAAACAACTGGCCCAAACCCAACCAAGATTTGATGTGTTGATCGAAATTAAAGATATGTTATAAGATATATGAAATAATTAGAAGATTTGGACTGATTGAGCAAGTAAAACCAATCGCCATTGCTACAATTTTGGATCCAAGATTCAAAAATCTTCACTTTACCGATCCAATTGCTAGTTCAAGTGCAATGGCAGAACTTCGAAGATTATTATTGCCAGATTTATCATCTAGCGAATCTGAAGGAGAGATGATATCTAAAGAACATGTGGATAGTTATGATTTTTGGGCTCACCATAAAATGTTAGCTCATGGCCAGAAAAAGAAAAAATCTTCATTTACATATGATGAGTTATCTCAATATCTATCCAACCCTGTCTGTCCACTAAAGTCAAACCCCTTAGAGCTCTGGGAAGATATGAAAACAGTCTTTCCCATGTTATATAAGCAATCAAGAATATCTTTTACGATGGTTGCAACATCTGTTCCATGCGAAAGACTGTTTTCAAAAGCCGGACAAGTCATAACCAAAACGAGAAACCGTCTAACAGGTTCTCGTTTAGAAAAAATTTTACTTCTTGCAGATTTACCCGAGGATCAATGGTTTTAAGTTGTAAAAAATAAAATTTTGAATAATGCATAATTTGTATTTTGTATTGTAAATATTTTTACTATTTTATTTTTGATACCTACTTCATAATAATATGTTGTATAATAATTTAGGGTGACCATAATTAGACAATTTAAATACAGGACTAAAATAATTTGCATTATTTTTT